ATAACGACTTTGTCCTTTCCATTGGCATAGCGGAAGAGCGAGAAGTAACCGACTGTGAGGTTGGGCGCAGTCAATTGCCTGTCGATGATGTCCTTCTCTTGATCACTGAGGCCAGCTGTGGGAGGCTTGGCCTCCTTTTCCTTATGCAACTCATGCTTCTCGTCGATGGCCGCGGAGATGGCCGTTCCCGTCGACGTTGCTGAGTCCTCGTTATCCATGCTCAAGGCGATGAGCGTGTCTTGTCGTGTCGTTGCTGATACTTGGCGTGCAGCAGTCGAAATACCTCCAAGAGGTCTTAAGGGGATGTCGCGAGGAGAGGAACAATACCTAGGGAACTTCTCCTGCAATTCCTTTGAGATCCTTCAGCGCGCCACCCACGGGCCTAGAAGATTAGAGATCCTTGTAGTGCAAGGGCAAGCCGTTGTCCGAGCCGGACGGCACTAGGCTTGATAAGGCAAAACACACGATCTAAGCTTCTCGGTTGGGTGGCGATGGACCCGAATGTGGATGACGCAAAAGCGCGGACTCGTTTCGTCCGGGGGGCTGGAATACGGCCGATACGATGGATGGATTGCGCAACACCAAGGCGCGAGTGCGAGTGCGAGGCGAGGCAACTACAGATGACACGGCACTGACCAGACAAATAACGCATGCACCAAACGATGGCAGAACCTGACAAAATCAGAATCGATGGAAAGTCGATAGTCGTGCTTGCTTCTGTTTGTATTGAAAATTTCAGGGAGAGCGAGATGCAGAGGCCCCCATATAAGAGATGTTGCAAACATGTCTGCCTGAAGTTGATGACAGTCATCGTCGGATTTGGCGCATAACTTTCCACTCCGGTGTGCTGGATACGCACAATGCTGTACTCACCGATACGAGCAGCCCGCGAAAGGTTGGTGGAAGCGAGCGTCTCGGGTCCGGCTAAAGGCCGGTCGTCGGAATAGATGAGCCGCCGATGGCAGCGTCCTGGCTCCTGGGCTGCCTGTGGCCCCGCGCACTGTTATAAAAGAGCGAGGTGCTCGGATTTCGTTCACGTCGGACAGAACAACCCCCGATAAGAGGCCTCTTTTTATCCAATCATAAATGCGCAATCACATATCGGATTCGGAATCATAACACCCGTGCCATGTTCACGTTATCGACAGCTTCTCTACACTGTACCTAGGTAGTGCCACGGCGTATGCCATCGAAGACGCGTCAACGCTTAACGTCACTGTATGTCATGTGTGCGACAGACGCGGTGACAGAGCGAAACGAGAATAGTGCGTTACTTACCTAGGTATACGGGATACGAGATCAAACCGCCCGAGGTATGCACTACGACTGGGTTCACACTGCATGGCATACAAAAAACGCGATACTCACACCTAGGTACCACCTCGCACAACAGAACACTAAAGAGACCTGCGGCCTACATCAAGGTAAAAACATGCAAAGTAGGCAACCTAACGTCAACGTAGGCTCCAGGGTGGTCAGTTTTTCATGAATGCTTCGATTGCTTCTCAAGTTACCCAACCATTTGCTCGTCTCACTGATCTTCAACTATGTCCATTCGTCTGCATCCCGTCAACCCCCCTCCACGACTGAGCATGTCCCGCCAAACTCCTCCTCACAAAGACAACCTCCTTCTCCTTGACGTCACCACACGCCGCACATACCAGACGCGCAGCGCCGCAGTCGCCAAGGGCACCCCATGCAGTATACACCTTGCAGTAGAAACACACCCAACCATAATGTCTCGCATCTTCCCTCGTTGTAACCTGAACCTCGAAACAAACGGTTGGTATATTGTCTGTATTGGAATTAGGTTTGACCACGTAGTGCCCATTGGAGAGGGAGGTAGTAGCTACCCAGGCTCATTGAACCAAGCTGCAGATGGAGTGGCACAGGCCGGCAGGCTACATGGCCGCACCGGCGTAGAGAACCTAAGACATGGCAAGACCCAGGCGTGTTGTAGTGTGAGCTGCGATGACAGATCCATCCGCGTTGTGCTGGGCTTTCTGCGCGGGCGTCTCGGACCGCGAGTTGCACGAGAGCTAGGTGGGCGGCTTTAGTGAGATCGCAAGGGATGTTGAGGATTTCGCGCTCTGGGTAGGGGTCAGCGACTTCTGTGGTATGAGCGAAGAGAAGGTGAAAGGGACTTACTAGTGGGTGTCGTCATATTGCTGTTGCTCAATTAAGCGGGTGGTTAAGTTGTAGCGATGGACTGTTGGGAATAGTGTTGGAAGTATACGTGCATCATGCAGCAGAAGCCGGAGACTTCGTTGAAAGCGAGAGCAAACGCAGTTGCGACACTATCCTAGCGTGATCTGGACCTTTCCACGTGCTGGTAGCCACTTCGCAGCAGGAACAATCCCGTTGCACCTGACGTATACAAGCACGTCGCCCTTTCGCTTCCGACATCCAATTGATATCGTACCTGCATGCACAAAGCGCTCACTCAACATCATGGACGTCGTCAGCAGTATGTATACCTCAACTGTACCAACTACTCTCGTGCTAACCCTACGCAAGAGAAAGATATACTAGAGCAGGAAAACTTCACAGCGCAAAGAATCATGCTATTCGCAGTCAGGCAGTCTGCAGAAATGGCCCGAAACGTAAGAGCCTCTTTCTTCACACATTTCTTTACTCCTCTTACCAGGTCAAGACATTGACACTACGCAGTCCAACCCCCCTCTCCGCGGATGGGTCTGTCACGACTGCTCACACTTCAACGTACCGGGCACCATAGCTTCACCCGGCGGCCCATGTCAAACATGTGAAATGCCGGTTTGCGAGGCGAAGTGCGCCGATGCAACTGTCACAACGCGCGACGACCGCCGCTGTTCGGGGTACGCTTGTTGGTACTGCAAGTACTTCTATCCGTGGCCCGAGGACAACGATGGGAATCGTATGCTAGATAGCGCACTTTCTTGTGGTATTTGCGAGGACTTGGAAGAGGAGGAAGTGGTGTTTGTCAAGAGTTGGATTGAGGAATTAGATGCAATCAAGGAGGAGAAGACTGAGCAACAGGAGAAGGACAAGGAAGTTAAGGAAGAAAAGGAAGACAAAGACATTAAGTTGGATGATGGCCGAGGTGACTTCGTCGTAGTTAATAGGCGTAGGGGCAGATCAAATAGAGGGGCCGGAGGTGGAGGTACTGCGCAATAGATTGCCAGTATCAGGCGATGCAATATCTGTAGTCAAGCTTGAAGTATCTCGGACTGTGGTTTGGTGTAGTTGGGCAATCCTCACATTGATGTTCAAGCGGCAGCCCAGGTGGTGACGTCAGTCCGCTGGCTCATGATCGACTCGTTACAGGTCATTGCGGTACTCTCGACCATCGGTGCTATAACCTAACAACAACCTGTTACCATGGAGGCAGTGTGTATTATTTTGAGCAACACCATATTTGAAGTTTTGCATAGCTTTCAGGCGCTCACGAAATCGGGACGCCCCGGCCCACCTCCCGAGGTCTGCACGTGCAATTACGTGCCGCTAACTCGATGTAGTTGGTCTCGGGCTTGGCGGTAGGCAAACATTGAGTGCGCGGAAGTATCTTATTACTCGATCTACGCGTCAATGGCCATATCAACCACCAGCTTTCCACCCCTACCCTTGTGGTATTCGTCTACCAGCTTGTTCAGCTTCGCCAGAGGAAACGAAGTCGACATAGCGCGGATACCATGTTCGGCGGAAAATTCCAGCATCTCACGAAGTACTTTGTTGCTTCCCACCAGGCTGCCAATGATCCTGATATCCCGAAACACGACGTCGCGCGAGTTGATGTGGAAGCCCTTCTCCGGGAACGACACCACAACGCACGTGCCATGTGACTTCAGCAGGGCCATGCCGTAGTCAAAAGCAGTTTGGCTTTCTGGTAGGACGATCACTGCATCCAGTCCCATCTCGCCAACATCTTTCTTGTTGTCTTGTCTACCGATCTCCTGAACGACATCCGCTGCCTTCTTCTTCCGGGCGTCTACGATATAAGGCTGGGGCTCCAATCTCGAGGCGACATCTTGCGAAAGCTTGAGAGGCTCATCTGCTGCCTCAATACCCAGTACCTTGTACCCCATCTTGACGCCGTATTGTAAGCCCAGATGACCAAGACCACCGCCAGCTCCTAGTATGCCGACCCGATCGCCTTGCTTGAGTCTGCATCTTTTGAGGGCCCCGTATATGGTCACGCCGGCGCACATCAGAGGAGCGGTCTCTACTGCGGTCAGATCGTCCGGTATGGGTGATAGCTGTCTCGCATCCACAACGGCATACTGCGCGAACCCTCCGTCTTTGCTCAGTCCTTTGTTCTCAGCATTGATACAGTTCACCGAGTAGCCTCCTTCATCCATGGCGACCGGATCATCCACGCGCTCGTTCTTGCACTCGAAACATGAGCCACAAGCATGGAAAGAACGTCCCGGTACACCAACCCTCACGCCGATCTCGAACGCGCTAGCTTCCTTACTGGGCTTCTGGAAATGAGCGACTACCGTCCCTGCGAACTCGTGGCACCCGATGTGAGGGAAAGATTTCGGCAATCCTGGCATCTGTCCTTCCGCTAGGACATAGTCGGTATGGCAATACGAAGCAGCGTCTACCCTGATGAGGATATCATGCGGCTCCTCTAGCTTCGGAATTGGAACTGATCGTAGCCTGTACGGCTCCTTGTAAGCCTCCAGGTACTGCGCTTGCATCGATTCGGGCACAGCAAACGACATGTTGTTTTGAGATCTTCTCGAATTGATATGGAGCGGGGAGTTGCCATTCGACTACACCTGGGCAGAGTCTCAATCTATATACCTTCTATTAACAATGACGGATTCAGCAGATCTCGATATCTCAAAGAAGTTGACCCCGCGTGCGGGGTAGTTGACAAGGTGGGGCCCCAGGACGGAATGCATGCCAACGATTTCCCCAACCACGCTTTCTCCAACAACGAGGTCATATTTGGCGTCAAAAATGGCTTCTTCGGAAAATACTCAGCTACCATCTCTCGCCTCTTGCCATCCGCCATGGCTTCAAGTAGAGAAGATACCGTTGTTCTTCCAGCACCGGCTCACGATCAAGCCTACGTGACCATCTCAGCCCTCGAAGCCGGCCAGCTTACTCTTCCCGAGAGACTCTTCGTCACAGATGCCGACCCAGAAAAACGTGCGACAGTCCCATCTCTCTCTTTCCTAATTCGACACGGTGCATCCAATCTCGTCTTCGATCTCGGTCTCAAACGCGACTTCTCTGGCTACCGGGAAGCACAACAGCATCATATCGCGCAACGCCAGCCTACCAGTGTCAGTCCGGATGCAGCTGAGAGCCTGCGAAAAGGTGGACTTGACCCAAAAGATGTGGACGTGGTGATGCTGAGCCATGTTCACTGGGACCATGTGGGTACATCCAGCGATTTCACAAACGCGCGATTTGTGGTCGGAAGTGGCACTATGCATCTTCTTGCGAACGGTGGTGGACCACTCTATCCAGCCGAGATATTCAACCCTGATGAGTTGCCTGCCGACCGAACGAGTGAGCTACCACCTGTTCGTAAGGCAGAAGCTCTACGCGCGTTCAAGAACCAGTTAGAAGAACTTGAGTGGAAGCCTTTGGCGGGGTTTCCCGCCTCCATAGACTTCTATGGCGACGGATCATTATTCATCATCGATGCACCAGGTCACTTGTTCGGACATATCAACCTTCTCGCTCGAACAGGACCAAAGAAATGGGCATATCTTGGTGGCGACTGTTGCCATGACCCACGCATCTTGAGCGGCGAGAAGCGTATCGCGCTCTATGACGACGGCAAAGGTGGTTTGAGAAGTGTGCACGCTGACACTGATGCTGCAGCGGCTACCGTGGAAACAATAGCAAGGCTCTTGAAGCAAGGGACTGTTCGTGAGGAAGGTGGAAGCCCTGTAGAGGTAGAGGTGGTTGTAGCGCACGATGGAAGTTGGGCGCGGGCGAATAGTGCGGCGTTCTTGCCCGGGCATCTTTGAACCGTGGCTGAGCAAATGATATCGCGTGCATATAGTGCACCTCAACACGGCTCTGTTCGTAAAGAAGTTTTGCCGATCAAATATCGGTAGTCGCAATATTCGCGCTCTCGTTGACCTATAATATTGGTAATTTGCATGATTTGTAAGTTATGATTGGTTCGTGGGCATGCTGTACCTACCTAGGTAGGTCGACGCGCTGTGTCACGTGATTACCTCACGGGTACATAGGCTCTCCTTCCTTAGTAGTTAGCACCTTAGCTTTTACAACAACAAATCCACGTCCTCCTCGTTCTGATTCCACGACATTCCCACGATACACCAACATCATTCTTATCGTGCACAACGACCCAACACATAAAAAAACTCGAAAAACATTCACAAAACTCCGGCAAGACATCTCCGTGCATCATGTGCAGGACTCCATCCAATCCGTCATGGATGTACGATGGGTCGCCAGACAACACTATAGGTACGAAGCCTACACCACTGAGAAATCGAAACAAGACCAACACTAAGACTACGTGCAGGGGAAGGCTTTGAGATGCAACGGCAACATACCGAGGCGATGGAAGGCGTCACGAGGACTTGTGCGACCATAGTTGAGGAACGCAGGGCCGAACTCGAACGGCGAGAAAACAAAATCAAGGAGCGCCAAGTTGAGCTCCAGAAATGCAGGGCGCGACTCCAGGAAGCCGAGACCCAGGTGGATGTTGCTCGAAGCTGTCTTGCCACTATGGGGCAGAACAACTACGTAACACCTCAGTACACCGCGGAGACGAACGACGTCTATACAGACACGGATCATGATAGACTCTCGAGTCACCCGGCGCCCCCTCCTTATTCGCCCCCCAACGATCTCGATCACGAAAGGATACCAGCAGCAAGTGACGCGCCGATAGACGGAGACACAGATCAACTACACCAGAGAGAGCGCGATCATGGAAGCAGCGACTCTGATAACAGCAGCGATGAACGCGACTACCATGAGCGGAGGAGAAAACTCATCGCAGAACTTCTCCCTCTTTACAGGGAGATTGGCAAGTCAAAGAGTGAGCTGACGAAACGCAAAAGAGAAGCACGGGCGCCCCAGGAGATGATCGGACTGCTTCGAAGACACATCAGCCTCATGGAACAAGCGATGGGTCCGCTGAAGCAGTTGGCGTTCGATGTTGGGGAGTTCGATCCTTTAGTTGATACCGCGATAGAGGCCGTTACGGGAGGACCGATATCCCTAGGATGGTGATCGTCGCGAGATGGGCAGAGGGTGTGAGGATCGAGATGGTCAAGATGAAGTGAGCATGGGGGACGCAATACTTTTGTTGTTTTTGAGCACAGTTCAGTACGGGAAAGGCTGTTAGTCCCAGGTCTTTTAGCGAAGAGCACGAGGACAGCTATCTATCAAGTAGCGGAACAATCTTCATTACAAAATCTCTAGGGAACAAGCTAATCCTATAGCTAAACAGTTGTGTTAGGCATACTAGGGATATCAAAAAAAAAGGTAAAAAAGATGTAGATCTAACACAAGACATCATAAGGCCTAAGAGTGGGAACGTAACTCTAGGTTTGGCCCCATACTGTTTGAATCATCATTCAAAAATCATCATAGTTCCGCTCAACTGGTCTGGCGCATCGGTCGAGTTCACCAAAACGAAATGACAAGTGAAAGAGAGAGGGTAAACATGACCCATTTGGAATAGTCTGTAAAACGGAGATCGCTAGCAAACGGAACATGTCTTTTGGGTGACACAGTGTGACCACCGACAATCGCGCGGTCGCCCTATATCCGTCTTCTCCCCCAATTTGGATACCGAGCTTGGCCCCAAATCTCGACAACGATCGCATCCGTTTGTCTGCTATTTTCCCCTCGGGGCTGATCCTAACGCCTTCGTATATACCGCCTCAGTCTTTGATCTTGGACATGCGCTCCTTCGTCTCGGCCGCAAATCAGCATCCCTCCAACTAACACCGCGCCTTCCTTAAGCCTCAGAAAATTCCTTGAACTCGACATCGCGACAATCGCTCATTTACAGCCCCTCCTCCACCACAATGCTCGGCCTCAGCTACTACCACGGCCAAATAGCCGTCGCTCACTTCATCTGCTGCCTCATCGCCGGCCTCACAGTCAGCACACGCATATACGCCAAACGATCGACCAAACAAGGTCTTAGGAGAGACGACTATCTCATCCTATGGACCCTCATCGTCTACTGGGCCGCCATTATCGTCGCCCTACACGGTACACCATCACCACCGCAGCAGCGCCGACCCTGAACTAACTCTTTCACGACAGAGAGCTTCACCAACTTCGGACCCTACACCAAAACTGAAGTCCTAGACATGCACTTGACCGCTGCCTCCCCGCAGCTAATTCAATACCGAAAGGCCATGCTCACCGCCTTCCTCCTGGGCATATGGTCTCAATTCACCTGCAAACTCTCCATCCTCCTCTTCTACCGGCGCATCTTCCGCACCTGCACCTTCCACCAGCGCGCCTCACTCTACCTAATAATCTTCACCTCGCTCTGGTGGGCCACCGCCGTCGCCGCCATGATATTCGTCTGCCGCTCCTTCGTCATCAGCTCCCACAACCCGTCTGAGGCCGTCAAAGTGGCCGCTGAGCGCGGCAAATGGAGTGGAAAATGGCAGCAAGTATTCCAGGCTTTTCTGGCGCTCGACGCGGCGAATGATTTGGCTATCTTGCTTGTGCCGATAAGAACGGCGTTCGGGCTGCAGATGGCAAGGCGGGCGAAGGTCGAGCTTGTGGGTGTTTTTGCGTTGGGTGGGTTTGTTGTGGTTACGAATGTGGTAAGGATTGTTGAGTTTTATACGAGGCGGAAAGAGGATCCGAATGAGAGTGGGTCTTCCAAGGTTCTCTTGCTTTGATACTGAGAGTCGTTTCCGCTGACGTTGACCAGTTTTCTATCATGCCACAGAACTTTGGACCAGCATCCATGTCTGTACTGCGGTCTTGTGTGCTTGTTTACCAATTCTGAAACCGCTTTGGACGTCGGTCTCGACAAAGATCAGAACGAAGGTCACGGGGATGAGGTCGGGTCAAGACCAGGGTAGTACCCAGGGGAGCGAGGCGGCTGTTTTGGATAGGGAGACGCAGGATTGGAATGCTATCAAGAAGACAGTGACAGTCCACCAGACGTCTTCAGAAGCGTGAGGATCGAGCGGAGCGTCGCGGTTGGTAGCTAGGAAAGAGGGTTTGCGAAAGACGTTGTTTACACCAAATACACAACAACAATAACAACAACCTAAGATCTGGTACAGGTACCCATACTCTACCGTGATTCGGTCTGACAGAGATGAAGACGTGACGTCTTGGTCATCCACGTGGGAGTGGAGCTCCTCAACGCGAGCCGCTTGAGGTTTAGCGTCCCGAAGAATTTCAAGCTTCGCGTAAACCCCAATCTGTCATTTCGCATCACTTGAACAACACACGCAGTAGCATCTAGTGGGGAGATTCTTGCACATAACTCGTTATCAAACCAAAGGTAATATGGTCATGCACCATGGCGTGACATGAGGAAAAAAACACACAACGCCAGTGGATCCCGAAGCACATACCACCAATGACCCAGGACCCGACTCTTCTGACGTCTCTCGAAACGCCGTTAGCACTGATTGCCGTTATCCGTAGATGCTCCCACCGATATCATGATCCCAGAATCGCCCCGCCATGTACACCTTGCCTTACCCTGAACACCGGAAAAGAAGAATGATGGACTGCTGCCATCAGGTCCATCGTAGCCTACACAAAGAAGGCATCCGGGAGGGTGGAAAGAAGAGCAAAGGAGACTACGGCACCGGTAGCACCGAGCAAGGGATAGGCAGCCTTGTTGAGAACCTTGCTAAGAACTGAGCGGGGAGTCTTCTTGGGACGCTGGGCAATAATGGCAGCCGTCTGAATTGCAGCAGCATCATCCACTGGAACAGCAGCGACCGAGTTTGAGGTTGCATGCTCGTCACCAGCGGCGGCCTTGGATGCTCCGTCGAGAACGGCTTCTGGCTCGTCTGCCTCAAGCACATCTGCCTTGCGCTTCAAGTCTTTCACAGATTCAGGCGTAGGCGGCTGCTCCTCAACGATCTCCTCGATAGAGACCTTGGTACGGCGACCTGGCTGCACCGGCGGGGAGGTCTCGAAGTCGGGTACAAAATATGGTGGTGGTGTCTGCAGACGGCTCGCTTGCATGGGTTGGCTAGGATAAGGAGTGAATTGGGGCACGGGAGCACGAGCCTCATTCGCCTCTGCCATTGGGGCAAGAGGAGCCGGACTAAACAGGGACGGTCGATCGCCAAAGTTGGTGCCCAAGTAGTTTGGCGGAACGCCCTCGGAGTACCATTCCTGAAGATCGGCCACTTCCCTGAAGGAGCGATAGTTTGAATCGCACCATGGTGCTGCCCTAGACGCCGAGGGACGTGGCGGCAGAGGTGGAGGCGCGTTATCTCCATAGACGTTACTGTTCGACATGGAGTTACCGTCAGAGCCCTGCATACCGAACATGTACAAGCGTGGTAGCGACGGCTGTGTGTTGGCTATGTCTTGTGGCATGTATACGTCCGAGAGCGAAAGCGTCGTTGTATCGCGCGGGAAGGAGTGAACAGTCTGGGGTACTTGGCTGTGGATGGACGCCTCGTTCTCTTTGTTGGATGAGGATGTGGTGGGCTTCTTGTGTTCAACCTCTTCCATTTCCTCGTCTTCTGAATCCTGAATCTCTGGCTCGGAGTCAGACAGCATCTCGGAGCTATCGATGCTGCCAGCCTCGCTGTCCGAATCAGAACCAAGAGCGGCCACGTCTTCTTCATCGCTAGAAGGGTTTGGACTGGCAGGCTCGAGGGAGTCGTCACGGCGGGACGCAAAGCTCTCTGGGTTGTAGTCCTCGTTGGGAAGAGTGGTGCGCATTGCGGAAGTTGGGTAGTCGTCCTGACCAACACTGAGAGTGTGGTCATGCTCGTTGGGGTGCAGGACCTGATCCATGATCATGGTAACCTCTTCTTGGTCGTCGGCCTCCGAGTGGTCATCAGCTGCGTCGGAGTCGTCGTCGATGACGAAAGGATCAATCTGGCTGCCTCGACGCTCGGCGACTTCCTCTTCGTCGCTTTCGGCATCAGGGACGGTGAAGCCGAGAGAGAAGGGGCGTGATAGCTGCGACTCGAAAGTGTAGGTGCGGGCTACGAAGAACTCTATGTGGGTTGGTGTCAGCTCAGAAGCTAGGGCAAGAGGAGGTTTGGAGGGCCTACGCGAGGACGTACCCTCATTACGGTTAACGTCAGTGCCGAATTGCAGGACATCGCCATCATTCAGCTTCGTGGGTGTGTTGGCAGACAGCCTCTGGCCGTTCAGCATGGTACCGTGCATCGAGCCCTTGTCGGTGATGTAGACTTCCGGAACGCCGCTGTTGGCGTTGGCGGACAGGACAGCGTGCTGTCGTGAGATCACGGGGCTGTCGATGAAGGCGTTATGAGGTGCGGCCATGAGCTCTCGCTTGGCTGCGTTGCTGGACGCTCGACCGATGGGGAACTCGCTGTTGAGCGGCAGGTCGAACTCACGGGTCTCGTACGTGTCGTACCGCTTTGCGTCCCGGAGGACGATACGGAAGACTGGGGTGTCAGTGAGACGGGAAAAGAACATGGACGATGGTGCGCTGAGAAGCCTACTTGAACTCATGAGGAGAGAGAAGGGCGTCTCGCCAGAGAGTGACGCGAATACAGCCTTGGTTGGGAGGCGGAGCAGTTGAGCGGGGTGAGGTTGAGCGGGGACGCTGTGTAGGTAGTACCGTGGGCCAGGAGGCAGGAGCAACCAGTAACGTGTAGATAAAGGTGCTGCTGGCGTGGAAGGAGTGGGAAGAAGGGTAAAGCGAGTAATTCACGCGAATTTATTGTAAACCTCGCCGTCACTATGGGCGGGGCAGGGAGACGGTCAATGGTGAGGCAGCCACCAGGCGGTGATGCTCCTGGTCACGACTGCCTTCCGGGGTACTATCAGCTTATCAGCCCGCATTAGCGCATTAGAGTGGCTTAGCGCTCCCGGGAATGTTCCCCACCCTGAAATCTGCAGCGGCGCGACAAGAAAGTTGCTGCTGCACTCTGTTGTCACCCGGATAATGACTCACGACGCGACGACTATGCGAGACGACGACCACTGCGACGACTCCCGGTAGCATCAACTCACCTCAGCGACCTCGCACACTCACCCCCCGCCACTATGGAGGCGCCGCGCAGCTCGGCCAAGCAGCA